TTTCTTTCTTTCTTTCTTTCTTTCTTTCTTTCTTTCTTTCTTTCTTTCTTTCTTTCTTTCTTTCTTTCTTTCTTTCTTTCTTCCTTCCTTCCTTCCTTTCTTCCTTCCTTCCTTCCTTCCTTCCTTCCTTTCGAGGTTATGAGCAGAATATATTTATCGAAGGAAAGAAACGAGAGAGGGACAGGAGGGAGGCCCAAGCGGGTTGTCTTTTAAAGAGTTTCTTTTATTTGTTTTGAACCTTTTATTTCTATCACGTTTTCCACCAGTTTATGATCCTGAATTCATTCATTGTATTTGGTTGAGTCCACGGATTGGCTGGGACTAACTAGCTGTTCCCGGATACCTAATTTCTAAATTCAGTGCATTTCAACATTGAATCTGAAGCCAAATAAGTAATACAAGCTCTTGTGCTTTCTTACAATGAACAGTCCTGTTAAAGCTTAGGGGTTAGCAGCAAAGTGAAAAGAAAGGCCATTTGGCTTTGCAGGGACCTCACCATTTTCCCTCGTTGATTGGCATTGCTTGATTTCAGCCTGTTTGGTGGTTTCCAAACCTTGGAAGCGTCTCACGAAAACATTACTGAGCCCAAATACAAGGTATCTGATTTAGTATGTATTTCTCTAATTCAGTATTCCTGTGCATTTAGTAGAGTCTACAGGGTCTCACTCAATACACAGATCGCACTTGTAGTGATCCGCCTGTGTTTCAGCCTCCCAAGTGCTGGGATTACAGGCGTGCGCTGCCAAACCCAGTCTCAACCGCCCTCTCAGCGCGCCCCGAGGTCAGGCCGGCTCATTATTCCTGATAATGAACTGCTGCCTTGGTTTCAAGTTTGAGAGGGACTCCAAAGTTCAGAGAATTTTATTTTATTTTATTTTTAAGGGAAGGGTCCATAGGGTGTTCAGAGTCTCACTACTAAATCGGACTCGTAGTGATCTGCCTGTTTACAGCCTCCCAAGAGCTGGAATTACAGGCGCGCCACCACTCCCAGTCTCAATTGCTGTCTCAGCGTGCCCCAGGGGCTGGGCCAGCACTGCAGGCCATGGGATCAAACCCCGGCCCCTGCACCTCCTTGCAGGCACTTTTTGTGTGTGTGTGTGGTACCGGGAATTGAACTCAGGACCTTGTGCTTGCCAGGCAAGCGCTTATTCTACTAAGATATCTCCCCGGCCCCTGCTTGCAGGCACTTTAATCTGCTGAGCTATTTGGCCGATCATAAAAGTACCACATTTTATTTTTTTATGAATTTTGGACAGGGTGTAAAGGGTGTCACTACATAGATCAGACTCATAGTGATTCTCCTGTTTTCAGCTTCCCAAGCGCTGGGATTACAAGCACGCGCCAGCCCGCGGTGTCTCAATTGCCATCTCAGTGCGCCGCAGGGGCGGGGCCAGCACGGCATCGAACCCCCCTGCGCTTTGCCGAAGCTGGCACTTTAGTCTGCTGAGCTATCTGGCCAGCCCCACAGGGTTACTTTTTAAGTTTTCAGAACTTCTCTAAGCAGCATATATTCTAAAATTAGTCTGATACCATTATTACGCAAGCAAAGCACACAAAGTTCACAGAAAAAAAAAGTACAGATAACTTTAAAATATTAAAAGACATTTAACCCTCCTTATCCTATGAGAAATTTAAAGTGAAGGGTAACACTTCATCCATCAAACTGGCAAACATATAGACTGACAACACTAGAGAGACACTGGGGAAACCACCTGTTGCACTAACTTGGGTGGCCCTAATATGTGTGACACTGGGTCAGCAGCTCTGGGTTAGCAGAATGGAAAAATAGGATATATTGGCCTTAAAAATACTGGCTGTTTGCCATGGTGTTGCTAAAGTGAGAAACTCATGAGACAACTGGCCATTTTATAGGCAAGCAGACATAAAAGGAAGAGTTGCAGCCAGAATTTCAGGGTTTGCAGATATGCCCAATTAGGGGCTGGTGAGATGGCTCAGTGGTCTAAAGCACCTACTTAGAGCAAGCACAGGGACCGCGGTTCAATTCCCCAGCACCACAAGCCAGCCAGCCCTGCCCCCTGGTGGGCTGAGCTGGCCACACACGCACACACAAATAAATAAATGAAATTAAAAACAAAACAAAACATATGCCCGACTATTTCTCGACCCCAAAATATGAGCAATGAAGATTTTTTTTTTTCAGTTCTCGACTTTAACGCTATATTCTTAGAAACCTCTGCACCATGAGAGCCAAGTGGAGAAAGAAACAAATGCGCAGACTGAAGCCTAAAAGAAAGATGAGACAGAGGTCTGAGTAAAATAGCTCGTACCGCCATTGAGGCCAAATAAGCAGAAATAAAGAATGTTGGAGGCTGACGACACTGGTGCAAGTTGTGGACTGCATGCTGTCTGGAATGTCTCGATGGATTAGAACCTCACTGCCATCTGGTCGCCAACACCACCTCAAAGAGAGATCCACCTGGTTCAAAGTAAGAAGTCTCCTATTTTTTTGCCCCGGAACTGTGGCATTCTGGACTACTTCAATTTTTGCTTTTGACTGAGTATAAAGTGTGTACAATAAATCATCTCTTTTGTGTTAGCTGAAAAATAAAAAAAAAAAAAAAAAAAAAGATTTATTTATTTATTTATTTATTTTGGAGGAACTGGGGATTGAACTCAGGCCCTTGCGCTTGCCAGGCAAGTTGCTTATTCTACTGAGCCATCTCCCTGGCCAAAAAAAAGATTTTTTTCAGGTATCACTTTTATTTTGAGTTTATTGTAAATTCACATGCAATTGTAAGAACTAGAACTTGCCTGGATCCTTTCGCAAGTTGCATTCACTAAATGGTAACATTTTCCACAATTACAGCACAGTTCTACAACTAGCATATTGGCATTGAGACAGTCAAAAGACAGAAGCATTCTGTCGCCAAACTATACCTCCTGAAGTCCTTTTTTAAGTTGATCGATTGAATGATTGATGTACTGGAGATTAAACTAAAGGCCATCACAGTGAACTACACTGAACCCGGCTTGAACTGAATAGAGACCGAAACCAGAACAGATTGGAATTTGGTGAGTCTTTATTAGCTGGTCCGGCGGCCGGCCAGCCACACTCCACGCAGGGAGGTGTCAACCAGCCCTGAAACAGAGTTAAGCACAGTCTTTTATAGCAAAAAAAAAAAAAAAAAAAACTACATCCTTGTCAACACAGCTGCAAGCCATTTATGACTCGGAGGTTTTCACAGTTTTCATCAATAAGCGGAATTTGCCCCAGATGGGGTGTGTTACAAGATATGGTTAGGGTGAAAACAAATCAGCTTTGTAGAACACTAGCAGGCTGAAGGATGTGCACTTGAGCCAGGAAGCAATGCTCAAAGAGCTAGAGGTCCCTGCCAGCTTTGCCCAGTAGAAAAATAACAAGAGCCACATTGATTTTCAGAGTAGATAACAGAAAGCCATTTTAGTGAGAACACAAGGTTCCTCCTAGTAATTTCCCACAGTTATAACCCATTCCATACACCCCCAGCCCTTTATTTTTGAGTTTGAGACACGGTTCCCCTAAATCATCTAGTCCCCAGGCTGGGCTTCAACTTGTGATTCTCCTGTCTCAGCCTCTCATGATCTGCTGCTTCACCACAGGCCCAAATACACTGGGAGCAAGCAATCATGGACTGTAACATCCAAAACAGTGAGGTAAAATAACCCTTATACACCGAGTGTGTGTGTGTGTGTGTGTGTGTGTGTGTATGTATGTATGTGTGTATATGTGTGTGTACCTTTTATCCCAGCAGTAAAGAGGCTGAGTCTGGAGAATTACAAGTTCAGGGCCCTCTGGGAAAATTAAATAAAAAGTAAAAGGGGTGGGAGAGGCAGCTTAGTGGAAGACGCCCTGGGGGAAATCCTCTGTACACAGAAAAAGAACAACAAATATCTTTTTAAATGTTTTACACATTTAGCATCACAACACTGGCTGTGGTGCCAGCGATACCTGCCTCTCCATGCTGAAGACCATCACAGTAGCTTGGGCGGGGCCTGAAGAGGGAGCAACACAGGACACAAGGGAAGTTAAGGAACAGAATAAGGCGTGATGTCAGGGATGGAGTGGGGCAGGGTGGGCAGCTACTCCCCCTTTACTGCTTGAACTACCTTGAATGATTCATTCCTAGATGAATGCCCTTCCCTAGTACCCTAGAGCAAAGAGGGGAGGCCTCAAAAATTCTTAAAATGAGGGGATTTTCTCTGTACAGCTTAATAGTGACAAACAAAGGACAGTGTCAGAGAAGACACATTGGCTTTAAAAAAAAAAAAAAAAAACTTTAAAGAGAGTTTTGGAGGTCTTAAAAGGGCTTCCTGGGCCAGAGAGATAGCTCAGCAACATAAGCACCTGCCTGGCAAGCACAAATTCTTGAGTAGGATCCCTGGTACCAACCAAAAAAAAAAAAAAGGTAGGGAGGCTTCCTGTGAAACCAGGAAAATATTAAAGAAACTGAACTGAAGATTTGTCAGTGGTACCTTGAAAAATGTCCGTACATTTGCATGTATACTGGCATTGTACATGTGTTTTATGGTTATTTAAAAGAGGAAATCATGGAGCCGGGGAGATGGCTCAGTAGGATAAGCGCTTGACTGGCAAACGCAAGGATCTGAGTTCAATCCCTGGTTCCGAAAAAAAAAAAAAAAAAAAAAAGAGGAAATCAAGCTGGGTGTGGTGGAGCATGTCCA